TAAAAATGTGCTTTTTAGTCAGGTAGAGATATCAGCAAAATTGTGCATTTAGGTATGTTCCTTGTTTTCCTCCTGTGACTGCACATGCAAATTATGCTTTTGCATATGCAAATACTCATTTAAACTTGTATTTAATGTAATAATATAGGTAGGTCTTAAATGGTATTTTTTAAGACTGTAGAAGAACAAAGACTATGTAACAATAGTGAAGCTTGGACCTTAGTTAATATATATTAGAGGGGTAAACCAGAATCTCAGCTTGTATTTAATTTTTGGGAGGGGGTTGTTGTTTTTTGATCTTGTATCTGCCGACTGACCATTTAGCTAGAGCTATGATTTTGAATTTGTCAGCTGGTCTGGTAACTGAGCCATACTCGTTTTCTTTTGCCTTTGCGTTTTAACAGACAACCTGCTAGGGAGAACTGCTGTGAGTGTTCCCTAAATGCTTGTTGATCTCTCTGGTTGTGGAAGCTCAAATACAAGTTTCACTTACTTTTTTGATCAGTGCACTTCTCTTTATGTTTTGGAGTTTCTTTTGCTTGAAGTTACTCATGCCTCAGGTTACTCTTACTAGATCTACATGACAGAAAATAATATATGGGGTGCCATAGAATGGGCTTGTATAGAACATGAATCAGTAGTTGTAGGAGTTTAGAGTCCGCTCTAATAATCTTGCATTCTGTTAAGAGGTAAGCCACAGGCCTTTAACAATAGCCCTGACAAATGCAGCCAATTGAGACATGAATTTGGAATCTGAGTAGGTGTCTGAGGCCTTCTGGGGATTCTCTGATAACTGTGATTCATTTTGACAGGTTGGACCCACATGAACGGTGGCTGGATTTGGCAGAGAGGAGAGGCAAATTAACTGTATCCCACTTCAGAGTTCAGATCCTGTGTGTGAATGCCCTCTCCAGCCTGCATTTACAAAACCTCAGCATGTTGCCAATCCTCTGACTCTGTCTAAAGCAGATGTGGCAGATACAGCATTAGATCCTGGGTAGCCTGACTAGTTGAGACTTCTGGGAGTGATGCATTGGTAGACAGTGGCTGGCATCCATTCCCTTCTCTTTCCTGTCCTGTGTTCGTCAGTCACTGACATGAAGGAGCAATTTGGAGACCAGTTGAACAAGTTTAGCCATTTGCCTTGCAAGTGCACTTAACCCAAGATGTGGGAGGGGCACTGCATTCAGGCCCTAAGCTGGGATCTTCTGTGCTGGCTGGGCCTCTGAACCACAGAAAACAAATGGCTGATTGAGACCAGTTTGCTGGGCAGTGGCTGAAAGGTTGCTGGGAGAAAAAACCTTGTCTGCGACACTGATGAGCCCTGGTGAAAATGAAGGCACTTTGATTATCACACAGAAAGGCCTGTTCCTACATGCCCATGGGGGAGAGGTGTCAGCATGCTGCTCTCACATTGGATCTTCCCCACATGGCATGGAGGTGACTAAAATCATGATCTGCAGAGCTCCACTGCACATGCAAGGGAGGTACCTGCGATACTTATAGGCTTGTGAACAGAACTGGCATGAAATAAGCAAGCTTGTGCTTTGTGAGGATAGCGTGAAGGGGTATGAGGACAATGTATTCATACCCTCTGGCATGAAGTAAATGTTTTGTTTATTATGTGTACCGTACTAGAAAACTCTTGTACTCAGAACCTTATCGTTCATCAGAAGACTTTTTCTGCACTTTGTCTGACCTACTGCATATAGGCTTGGAATATGAGCTTCCTAAGGTAAAAGTTGTATCTGGGGAGATGGCACAAAGACTTATGGCATAGGAACCCTTTTTCTGGTTGGGATCTCTGAGAACAGGAGAAATAATCTTCTGTAATGGTATTGTGAATAGGACTTCAGACGTTTATGGTAGGTATGTTATAATAGAACTAACAAGCATACTCATTCAAGGTTTTCAAGCCTTTTTGAAGGAAGGCTTCTTTTTTAAAGAAGTAGAAAAACTTGAGACTTCCTAGAAGTGGAAAATTTATAGCTGTTAGCAAGTATAGAAGAAACCAAATGTTGGCACCTGCCAGCTGCTGTATTTAGGCTGAAAATTAGGAGAGTTAATTACATATGGAAACAGGAACAGTCATCTGGGGAGCCCTCTGACAGCTCAGAGCTGTAAAGCAACTTTTACTAAGGAAATACAGATACATAGCTCCAGGAAGGTGAAGCAGACTGCTCTCTGCCTGACTGAGTGCTGAAAAGTGGCTTGGGGTTTGTTTGGGGGTTTTTGGTTTTGGGTGGGTTTTTTTGGGGGTGGTCATTTGACAGAGCAGGTTTGCCCAATCTGACAAATTTAATAGGTGACCTGATTGAAAGCATAGTTATGGTGAGCTGTATAGAATCTTATAGTGCTTGTGCCACTATTATTCATCTGAAGGGGAGGAGTTTATACCCACTGTCCCAGCTGGGGAAGTTTTCATGCCAGGGATTACTGTAGTGGAAATATTTCCAGCCTCAGTCTGATTTGGTACAGATTTACAGATAATAAAACATAGTAATAGTAATAAATACAATAATGAAATAATGTGGGTTTGGATCTTCTTACTTTTTTTTTTTAGTTTCTTGGCTAGAAGCAGCTTTTGCTTTGTTAGATCTCTTCTTAATAACAAGTTAGTTGCTTTAGTCCTTCTGTTCATGTTCAGTACAGTAAGTTCTTGAATATGTTGCCATTATGCTTAAAGCAAATCAGTCTTGACTTTTATCTTGTTTGACAGCATTTTATATATATAATTTTCCTCCCAGTGTATTTTTTGCAAATGGAGAGGAAGAAATACCAAATAACTGTGTTAGACTGCTTTCTGTTTCATGTTTTAGTACAGTTATGCTAAGGATTGGCATGTATTAGTTATCAACATTTGTAATAGGAGAGCAGCACAGAGCCCATGCTACCATCCAGCAGCTCTTGACAGGATTGCACCAGGAGACTGAATGGATGGCATTTCAACTGTAGCACTTTTGGAGATAAACCTGTCCCTGTGATTAGGAAAAATTACTGCTGCATGATACACATCGTTGTCTTTCTTAAAAGAGTGTGTGCAGCTGCTGTCACTTGATTTGCTGTTTGGGCATATGTTGCTAGACATAGGGGATGGGACATTTTTCCTTTGGGTTGACTGTTTTTCACAATAATGAAGCAGTAATTTCGGACACTAAGTGAGAGAAAGAAATGTTTTTCCCTCCCTTTATTATCGACGTCTATCTGGTGGTTTCTGGTCAAACTTTGAATGGAGGAAAACACAATTAATTTAGAATTAAAACATCCATCCCAGATACTTTGGCATCCCAGCTGTTAACCTGTGACTGTAGGACCGCTAAGTCTTGCGCTGACACTCACACCTGTGTGTTCAGTGATAAAAATACATCTTCTAAAATGTCCCTTCTTTGGGATGTGCTTGTGAGGCATCTGTAGTCCAGGGTTTGGGAGCTTGTGCTGAAGAATGTGGTGGGGGTTTTTTTGGTTGACTTTTTGTTTTGTTTGGGGGGGGGGGGGGTAAGCAAAATAAGTAGTGTAAAATCAGAGTGTGGCAGTATTGCAGAGCCTGAGTAGTGGCTCTAAAGTGTGTTAGGTGTTTTGTTCCCTAATCTTAAAGGAGATCTCTGCCTTTCCTAATACAGTGTTCATTTACTCTGTGGCGGGTGTTTGATCTGGAAATACTTGTGTGTCCTGTTTTTTGCTCCGTCCGTTGGAGTATGCTGGCAGCAGGAGACAGAAGCAGATGCAGCTTCAGACTCACAGCTAGCAATGTACTCCTGGTTCTTTGTGGAAAAGACTGAAGCTGTTGGAATAGCAGTCTGCTGTCAGTCTTACTGGTGCTGGTCTTAAAGATGTAAAGTAACTTGTGGGACAGAAAGAATCTTGTTTGGAAAATCTCTCATAAAGAGAGTAGTCCTTCAGTACAGAACCCTTTAGGCTTGCCCTGCTTTGAATGTGGGGTTGGACAGGGTGATCTCCTGGGGTCCTTTCCCACCTGAATTATTTTATGATTCTGTGGGGATTCTGTTGCTGAGGCCTGCCTCTACTTTCTCTGCTTCAGACTCTTGCCTGTCCTATATTACATGTCTGTGCTCTGCAGTAATTCTCATGTGAGGATTTTTTTCTTTGCCCTGGTCCCCTTGCCAGCTTCTAGAAACCAAGATTAACTTTACCCCTTCAACATGGAGGAATGATTCCTGTTACTTTAATCAGCTGATTAAAAAGCCTATATAACCAATGGGACTTACACAGCATGCAATGATTTTGCAGGGGTCATGGGAGTGTGGTAATGGAGGGTAAGGGGTGAGATTTTTCTAACCTTCACATTTTTCTAGTCTCCTAATGGGGGAAGGAGACTTGTTTTGAAGATAATTTCTTTTTGCTGTCTTTTTTCCTAGTTCACAAAATACAGGTAAATATAATGTTCCTTTGAGAGAAAGAATGGCACAGATGGGTTCAAGGAACTAAGTTTAAACAAACAGCTTGTTTTGTGTCTTGTTCCTTTTCAACTGAGAACTAAAATCACAAAGCTTCTTATTAATGCAGGAAAAGAATAGCCTTTGAGTATTTCTCTGAAAATTTTTTAGCAATATTTTCAGTTGTAGCTGATAAACCTGAAAAGCAAAAGGGGTGAACTATGTGCAAGTGAAAGCGTGCTTTTTTTGCTGAATATTAGCAAAATTCTCTGGTAAGAATTGCACTGGATTGACTGTGCTGACTGATTGGATCTTGCTAATTTGTCCATCCCAATTATTCTATATCTCGTGCTAGTCAGAAATCTTTTGACAGAGGGTCTGCCTTGTGATGTTTCTGGTATGAACAGGAGCACACTTCTATTTCAGCACCGTTTGGTAACTGATTTGTGGCAATTGTGTATTTGTCCTCTGAACTCAGACTGTACTTTGAAGATGGCATAGAATGCAGCTGTGTGAAACTAGTTTTTTTGCTGGTAGGGTGTTAGTGCCTTCTGGTTTGCACATCTGACTAGAGATTCTAGTAACAGATACTTTCCTGTCTTTCAGGTATTGATAGCTGATGACTACTCAGATCCGTTTGATGCCAAAAGTGAGTTGAACAGAATGGGAAAAGGGGAGAACACTGGCTATATGGAACCGTATGAAGCCCAGAGAATAATGACTGGTAAGAAAAGACAGTTGCACATGTGATCTTTAATTGCATGGCAGTTCACATGGATATTACAGCTGCTATGAAACAGAAATGTCCTTTGGCATGAAAAACCATAAGATGCTTAGGTAGGCAACAGTAAATGCCATGACAGCTTTTCAGGTGCCTGCAGATGCCTTGACATCTAAAAATACTGCTCTGGATTTTACTACTGAGTATAGATGGTTTGTACTGTCATGTGGGAAGATGAAAATGGGAGCAGTGGGAGTTGGAGTGTGTATTGCTCAGCTTGGCAATGTCAAGGCTGTCATCTGTGTATGTGGTAGGGTTGGCCAAAGCATGTCATTGTGTTAGTTCACTTAAAAACAGTTGATCGACTTGCTTATGGCCTTTTTTTCCTCAATTAGATTCAGACTGGTTGGTCTTCCCTCTGTCAGAGGAGGGCTGCAAAGCTGCATCTTTATGTACCTTCCTTCCTTCCTTCCTCACTTCTCTGATTTTTTTTTGTACCAATGGTCAAAATGAGACACTTTAGGATGCCTTTAACTGCTATTCTTGGTAGCATCCTTCCTCTTCTGTCATGTAGGGAGATGGTTAATTGTGGTATTGTTGTGGGAGTTTGTACTGTTTGAACCCCTTGTCCTGGCATTATGTGACTGTAATGTCCGTGTATTTTTCTCATATTATCTGCATCCATTTCCTACTTGTTGGCTGTACAGTCTGTAAACTTTTCTGGGGTATGGGACCATATGGTTTTTATTGTATGATGATTTGACTCAGTCAACACACATTTTTGTGCAGATCAATTGTGCATTTCTCAGAGTTATACAGCAGGTTCTCTTTTTCTCTTAATGAGGTAAAAGTCAATTTTGTGCCCCGTTAAGTTGATTGTATGCTTTCCTTTTCTATTGGCAGCTCCTGTTTTGGGCCCTCAGGAAAGATTAATCAGTGGGGGAAGATGAGGCTGTTGGATGCAAAGATCCTTTTTTCATGCAAGTGTTCCTATTTTTCTTTTCTTAAATAGCATTTCTGAAGAGAGACAGAGGAAATGACATGCAGACTACATTGTTCGGAAGTTTTCGGTATCTTATAGTGGGGCTGGGAGCTTTTATTTCTCATTGGTGTAAATCTATTCATTTTAGTTGAGTAATTTCTTTGAAAAACAATTTAGTCCAAATAAGTTCTCGCTCTTTATACAGCGGTGATTAGCATTTGTAATTTTAACTATGAAGTTTGCTGTGCTTTGGTTTATTTTTTCCTGAGTTTAGGACAGGAGCTTATTTTATCTCCTTTTCCAGATTAGCCATAATAAATGGGGTGGTTTAGTGGACAATACCGAATGCCTTAGCTAAAGTAAGGGACAGTAAACTTGCGTACCCTTGCAGTTGCATGGCACCCTTTTGCCAAACTGGTGTTTGGTGCAGCTGATATATCTGCTCCATATGTTCTTATAAAGCAAACATGAGGAGCTCTCAAAGATGCTAGAGGCACTTCCAAAACTGGGGTTTAATTGAGTATAATGATGTAGCAAGTGTTCTGAATACGCGTGTGATCAAGCCAGGAGAAGTTGCTTGATATCTCCCTGAAGATGTTTAGTGTTTTGAGATTTGGGTATTTGGTTTCCAGTCATCTTGTCCTAATGCTGGTAAAAATAGAGAAAGTCTTCTGTTGTGGTTTCAGCCCAGCCGGTAACAAAGGACCACGCGGCCGCTCGCTCACTCCTCCCGCCCCCCTCCGGTGGGATGGGGGGAAGACGGAGGAGAGAAAAAAAAAAAACAAAAAACCAAACCTGGAACCTCGAGGGTTGAGATAAAGGCAGTTTACTGGAACAACACAAAGAAATTGCAACAACAACAACGGTACTAATGAAAAAGTATACAAAAAGAGTGATGCACAGTGCAACTGCTCACCACCCGGGACCCGACGCTCTGCCACTTCCCCCACCGAAAAGAAGGGCCCACCCCCCGGCCCGCTCCCCCTTTATATACTGAGCATGATGTCACATGGTATGGAATAGCTCCTTGGCCAGTTCAGGTCAGCTGCCCCGGCTATGCCCCCCACCTCCCAGGTTCCTGTAAAAAAAAATTAACTCTATCCCAGCTGAACCCAGGACATCTTCCCATAAACCTTGGTGAGGTCAGATTATAATCCACTATATTCAAGCATGTGGTTTTATGTTTGGGTTTTTTATTGCACAGATGTTGCCTTTGTGTTTTACTTGACAAATGAAAATCCAAAGGCATCTTTTTGGAGAGTTTTTAAAGATTCAGTTTGTATTTCCCAGGTGAGTTCTATTATGTATCTACTACTACTAAAGAAGACCTTTGGACTGCAGTTTGGTTGGCCTCAAAATGTTTACCGTTTTGTTTATTATGGTTTTTTGTTAGCTGTGCTGTCTCCTGAACAAAAGAACATTATATGGCTATCCATTTAGCTAATTAATCTGGTGAAGTCCTTCTGACTGTATTTAACATGGGTTAATCCCAGAGAGGGGGAATCTGCATACCCCAGCAGAATGCGCTGTAGGAGAAATAGAAGACAAAACAGCTTTTTGCCAGTTATTCCTTGTTTACCGATGTACCCTAACTCTTGATCAACTCTGGAAACCAGGTGTAAGGGCTAGTTTGAAATAGGAACCTAAAAGTTTTTGTGCGTGCTGCATGCTTCTTGAGTTAGTAGAGGATTAGGCAAAAGCAAATGTCCATATGAAATAAGACCCTACTATTTCAATTTGAGAAGCTAAGCTTACAACTGAATAGAAATGTATGATACCTGCAACAACTAATGTGTTCATTCATAATTTATTCTTCTTCCCTGAAAGCTCTGTGGGCTTGCAGTTGTGATTGAGTTGGTTCTTATCTGATGTTTCATTTAAGAAAAAAAAAAAAAAAGCCTTGAAGTTAATTATTTCCATAAACTATTGAATGGTCTATCTGATTCCATGCTGTCTGTGGTTAGAATTATGTTTAATCTGGCTTGAAGTTTCTTCTGCTGATAGCGTCCCCAAAAATACTGTCTTCCCAGATTTATGGTTATGTTGGTTGAAAGAAATAGTTTGGAAAGGCTTTTCGAGGAAAGACTTGACCTGAGGCTAAGGTAAAGCATGTTGAGAAAGAATGCATGTTTATAAGAAGCCAAACATACTTGCTGGCCTGTGCTGATATTCATAAGTGTCTGTCCTGTCTTCAGGAAGTCCATGCCAGACGTTCAGAGAAAATCCCTGGGAATCCAGTTCCGGGTGTGCTGTGCAGTGTGAGTCTTGGGTGGGTATGCACCCAAAGCCACAGGAGTAGTGTTGGATCTTTGGCTTATCCCCAATCTGTTTGGGGATTGGATGTCCTAGTGTAAATACAGATCTCTGTGATCTTAATATCTGCCATACTGTATTCTGGACTATGCATGGAGTGAGATCTTGGCCTGGCTGCTATCATGTATAACAAGTAGAGATAGCTGAGAAGATGCTGATTTCTAAGGATCCTGAGAAGTAGATGGACCAGAGAGAAAAAAGTAACCTGCTAAGAAAATACTGGCATTGCTGATACTGCCTTGATAACCACATCCTAGCAAGAAATAGATGAGGAAGGACTGGAGGCAAAGAGAAGAGGAGAAAAGAAACAATGCAAGATAACATTACTGTGACTGGGGTTCTTCATAAAGCTGCAGCCCCATGTGCTGATTTATAACTGCGCTGTCTAACAGCTGAAAGGACTCTATTCTCTCTTGGAACAGTGGTATAAATCCCCATTGTTCCCTTGGAAGGGCTAGACTGTCTATCCAAGTATGTTGTAAGTATGTTGTTTCCACTGCTTTCTTATGCAAGCTTTCAATTCTTATTTTTCTTCTAGCATCAGTCTGTAGCTGCTGCAATAACATATGGCCCATCACAGAAACAGGCCTGTGCTGCCTTACCAAGCCTGTAACCAAGCATCATTGCTTGGACCAGGTGTAGGAGGTACTTCATGCTTGAGAGAGAGTTCCCCAGCAGAGCAGTGACTGGAGACGCTGCATTTGAACAGAAGTGAATGCTTGAGACACTGTTAGGCCAGAGTGGTGGTGGCCATACCATCCAGGCTGTTCCGTCATCTGTTCTTATCAGGGAATGCTGGGGTAAGAGAAGTTAGGTTCCGCCTGAGTATTTACTCCCATCAGCCTGCACTGAATGTCAAATACTAGAGAGGGGTCTGTTTGTTTTCTGTGGTAATCCCTCACCTGAGAGGAGGAAAAGTGCCTTCAACTCATGGATATGTCTATGCTGGGGAAAAATGTGGGGGGGGGTTTTCCCCCTTTAAAATCCCGTTAAAGTCATAAGGCCCTATCCCAGCCATACCCTGTGAGCTGGAAGGGATAGTGCCTTTCTACTTTCTCCTGGCAACTGCACCTGTTGACACAGCTTTTCCAGGTATCTCTGCCTCTCAGAAGGAATTAAGTCCCCAGACTGCGTGAAATATTTGCAGTCAAATGCTAAATCAAGGCAGTCTATACCACAGCCATCTGTGTGCTGGATCATAGAGTGCACCTAAAACTTACCTTTGGAGGAGGATCCAATTTTGGATTATCACACAGGTGGAGATACACTGTCAGCCAAGTTGTTGCACAAAGAACTGTATCCTTTTAAGATATGATAAAGAATACTGGCTACAAGAATGAGATAATAGACTGCATCTGTTGCCCTTCTTAACTGGCTGCTTGGCTTTGAAGGGAGCCCCTTACCTCCAACTCACAACTGTTTGAATACAAGGTGCCTAGCATGGTACATGCTGTAATATTAAAAGCAGTTTACTTGAACAATAGTAAAATGAAAGTCAGTTCAAGTCTTAAACTAATTTGGAACTACATTATCAAAAATGGGGGGATGGCTCTGTGAGAGGGGAAGTAAAAATCATTATCTGAGGGGCATGTCTACCTTCAGGGATACATGTTGGCAAAAACACTCCTGTCTTTTCCAGATCAGGAGCTGTGTTTTCTGTGCTCTAGGATGGGTAGTGAAGGAGAGTTAGGGCAGCCTAGGCCCTTGA